GAGGCTTATTGCTTAGTCTGTAATGAACATGTAGTGTGGGAATAGTCTAATTGTTTAACTGTATAGAACCGTTGCTTCTCAGGGTTTGGGCGCGCGATGAGCCTTCTGAGCGGGCGCGGGAAACATATCTATTGGCTAGTGTGATTATGAATCTGCTTTAACCTATCTGTCAAACGCACATCTCGTTATTCTGAACAGAGAATCTGTTCTAAGTACTTCATGGCTTCAATAAAGTAAAACCTTCCTGCAAGTGTGTACTTCATTGCCTGCTGTGGGGTCTGACAACAGCCCACAAGGCAGACATTTCGCCTGGTCTGACTTCTCCTGCCAGCACAGTGCCTTGAAGTGAGAAGCTGCAGCAGCCGAAATTCCTCCTCTTCTCCCCTGGGCTGGCACCGGAGGCCTCTTAGGTCCAGGAACAGCTGCCATCGCAGGCCCCCTTCACCCACCCACCTGCAGCCAGAAGAGCGAGGGCAAGAAGGATCCCAGGCTGGAACCCCTCCATGGCATTTGGGCAGTCCCTTCGGTCCACGGGGGCGCTGGAGATCTAGACCTGGACGGGGGGGGGCTTTGCTTGTGTGGCAGCTTCAGGAGGGGAAAGCGGAGGAGGGGGCTGTGGGAAAGAAGCCCCGGGGCCAAATGGGAGACCATTTCGCGCCAGCATGACAGGGGAGCCCCGGACCCGGCTTCAGAACGCGCCTTTGCCTGCCTCTGAGCACATGCAGAGTGCCCCCCGCGGGACACCACCACCGCACTCAGCAGCGTGCTCCCAGTTGCCGGGGTGGAAGGGAAGACAGTGGGGGCAGGCGGGTACCCTCAAATTTCGCCCTGCCCCTGCCCAGGCATGGGGAGGGAGGGTTGCGGAAGGGGCACCTTTTCTGAGGGAGCTTCTCTATGCCTCGATGTCTGCACCCCTAGGCAGCCACCAAGGTTGGCCTAGTGATAGAGCCGGCCCTGTATGTAGAGGCTACGTGTCTGAGGGGGGGTAGGCAACTGTTAGTTTGGTGGGAGGGATGCTCTGGGAGAGATACATCCTTAGTGGGGGGGCAGCTGACTGTTAATTCTGGCGGGCAAATACCGTGGGGTAATTGGGTCCTGATCTTTAGTGCCTTTACTTGAACACACTATATCTGTAACCTTTGTGCGTTCAACTTCAGTCCTAACAATAGCTCGTGTCCAGTATGGTATCTGTCAAAGTCTCAATAAAGTTAGCTTTCTTTGAAGTGACTGCTGTTGAGAACTGATTTAACCAGGATCCTAACAAAAGGGGACGGCAAAGGATGAGATGGCTAGACAGTGTTATTGATGCAACGAACATGAAATTAAGCAAACTCTAGAGGATGATGGAGGACAGGAGGGCCTGGCGTGATGTGGTCCATGGGGTCGCAAAGAGTCAGACTCGAATGCGACTGAAGAACAACAACAAATCACAACAACCCTGTGAGAGAGACAGGAGTGACTCGGTCTTCATGCCTGTATTTGGGGTTTGAAGACAGATCTCCCCACAACCAGTCCACCCCAAAGGCATCTCCTTGTGGTCTTGGTCAGATTGAAGAGGATAAGACATCTTGCATTAACTGTCCATGTGGGGGGGAGAGAGGCTTAAACTACTAGGCCTCCATCTCTTTTAAAGCATTAAAGCAGCTTAGTGATCCGATCCTCTTTTAGAGAGATGGTAAAAATACACACACTTACAGGCCTTGTATTCTGGTTGGGTTTTTTTTGGGGGGGGGAAGGAGGGGGATATGTTCACTAAGTAAAAGTCTCCTGAAGTTAAAGATGAAAACTCTGAGGATGAGAGGATTCTGGAGAGGGTGAAAGAAAGGATTTACCAAAAATAGCTGCACCCTGCTAGTTATCCTGGCTGGGCATGACCCACCCGTAATATGGGCCGTGCAAGCAGAGTCCATTGCAGGGTGCCTTTGTCAAGGGCTCCCAGAGGCTTCAAAATGCAGCTCCAGATCCTGCATGCAGGTGCATGCCCCCTGCCCTTCCACTTGGGCCCAGGGCTCCTGGCTGCCCTCTTCCTGGGGGCTTCTTGCCATTCACCCCCCTCTGCTTTCACCCCCCCTTCTTGCCTCAGCCTTAATCGCCCCTTCCAGGTCTGTTCTTCCACCCCAAGGAGACACTGGAAACTCCTGCAAAGGCAACTGGCGTTTTCCAAGAGCTGAAAGGGGGTTGGGGGGGGCAAGTTAAGTCTGCAGCAGCAAGACACTAGGGGAGCCCAGGGGGGCCTTAACACCGAACAGCATTCACTCCAGCAGAATGTGCATGAGTCAGAGCTCCCTTCTTCAGAGGCAAGCGCTTCTCTTTTCTTGCTGGGTCAAACAGGTTTGACATCATTACTTTTCACGGTAAAGGGGCCCTGTGTCAATGGTGAAAGCCGCACAGCTGAGCCACCTGCACACAAGATGGGCTTTGGGCTTCCTGCTTCCTCGGCCGGGACACTCCCCAGGGCTGCAGAAACTGGCGCGCTGGTAAATGAACCGAGAGGAAAGGAACCAGAAGCACCGGTCTGATGAAGGCCCGGCGAAGGAGTGGGGAAGGGCCAGCTCAGTCAGCCCTGGAAAGTTTAGACAACTTGGAAGGGCGGCGGAGGGTGTCAAGTGCCATCAAATCCCCTCCAGCCCGCGGTGACTGCTGTTAACACAGCCTTGCTCGGGTCTCGCCTCCCGCGGCTTCCTTCCGCGATGCCCTCAGTCCTCCCCACTTCCACTCTCCCCAGCATGACGGCTCTTTCCCAGTGACGCTGCATAGGCGTAATCTTCGTGGGGGCAACGGGGCTTCAGCCCCCGCCGAAATTTTCAGGAAGCTGCTCAGCCTCCCCCGGGAGCCACCCTTGCTCCTACCCTGAGGGTCTCCGCGGGCTACCCCCCCCCCCCCCCCCCCCCCCCCGAAATTGGAAAGTCTGCACCCTTGCGCGTGAGGTGCCCAAAGCAGGGCAGGGCTGGCCTCGGTTCCGCCCGCTGAGCTTCTAGGGAGACTAGTTCAGGCTCGCTTTGGTCCAGAGCGCACGGGGGTCCGCCCGCGGAACTCGCCTCCGAGCCCGCCCGTGCGACCAGGCCCCTTTCTTCTTCCGCTCCTCTCCTCCGCGGGGTTTTTTTCGCGGCTGGCCCAGGGGGGACCCAGGGAAGGGGGGCAGCCGGCGCAGAAGCGGTCCCGGTCCCCGCGGCGGGGTGCTCGGCGGCGCGCCGGCAGGCCGAGGAGGGCGGTCCGCGCAGAGCCCGCCAAAGCCGGCAGACACGTGTGGGCGCCCGCCCGCCCAGCCCAGGAGGAAGCCGCCGGAAACTTTGCCGGGCAGGAAGGCAGGCCGGGCGGGCGGCCGGGGCGTGCCCAGTCGGCGACGGGAGGCGACGCGACTGGACGGGACGGGCCTGCGGTGTGCGTGCGAGCGAGCGAGCGAAGGAGCCCCATGGAGTCGGGCTGGCTGCTGTGGGGGCCGCCGCTGGCGCTGCTGCTGGCGCTGCTGCTGGAGCTGAGCCCCCCGCTCCGCTTCCGCGCCAAGGTCTTCTCCTACTGCGCCCTCTGCCTCCTGGCCTCCACCCTCACCGTCCCCGTCTGTCTCCTCTGCCACGGCGGACGCACCGTCCACAACATGAGGTCAGCCCACCGCCGCGGCCGCGCCTCGCCTCGCCTCCCCTCCAGGTGGGCCGCCGGCCGCTCCTTGGCCCGAGGCGCCCGGACTCGCAGGGGCGGGACGGGGCCCCCTCCGGAGCGGGGCAGAAGCGCGAGAAGAAGCGCCGGGGCGGGACGGGCGGAGGCTTCCGCGAGGGAGGCACCGGGCCCGGGGAGGAGGGCAGAGACGGGGAGGGAGGGCCGGTCGGTTTCTGAAATGGACAGTTGATAGATTCCTCCTGGGCCACAGCCAGGGGGGCTCTGTGAGCTCTTCTGCCTTTGCAGCTCCCGCTTACAAGAAACGTGTCCCTGCCTCTTTTTGTTGCGGACTGGCAAGGGGAAAGGTGGGTCTCCACGGTGGAATGGGCCGGAAACTGGAGTTTTAAAAACAAACTGGAAGTTGGGAATGCAGAAGTCCCACTAGAGCCTTGGAAGGTCATGAGATATCCAATTTAATCTTACAATGTCTAGGAGCCCTCTAGGTGCAGAGTGGGAGAAGTAGTCACCAGTGTTCCCTCTAAGCTGAGTGAGTGTGAGCTAGCTCACAGTTTTTTAGCCTCTGGCTCACACATTTTTGCCTTAGCTCAGGAAGGATGGCTACAGAGCAAACTCATTTATGCAGTTGCCAAATTGCTTGCTCACAACTTTAATGCCAGGAGCTCACAAAATTGAATTTTTGCTCACAAGATTCCACAGCTTAGAGGGAACATTGGTAGTCACTGTGGGGCAGGGGAAAGAGCAGGACTGGGAAGGAGCCCGTCTTTCACATCCACCCGACCGCCAACCTGGCTTTGCTGTGACCTCTGAAGGAAGGGGTGCGGGAGCAGGGGAGGGGGGGCAGACTTCCAGTCAGCAACAGAGCCAGAGCAACCCACGTCCTCCCTCTTTACTCTGGTTCTGGCGGTCTCCCGGAGCTCTCAAGACATTGTGGCACCTTTAATTTTAAACTTCACGGAGGCAGGTTCTTGAACAGCTGCAGCAAAATCAAAGTGAAAGTCCAAGCTGTTGCTTGGGTGGCCCTGATTCGGGGCGAGTCCAGGGCTGCTGTGTGTTTTGAAGATCAGACAAAAATGTTGCACAAATATGCCCAAGTGTTTCACCAGCCCTTCTTTGGTGTGTTTCTGAAAACTGTCAGCTGCTTTTATTGTGTACTGCATGCAACAGTTCACATGCAAGTTTGAGACTGTGGGATACGTGCACAGACATGGATCACATGGATTAGCTGCCAAACGTATAGAGTTGTAGCCAACTGGCCCCGTATGTGATTTCTCCCCTCCCCCCAGAGGCAGCGGTGGTTTTGCCCCATAGCAGAATAGGGGAAGGGACCCAAAGAGTAGACTGTCTGCTTGTATGCTCCTCGAAAGTATCATCCGGTGCAGTTGAATCCTGACCTTCTGTTCCTTCACCCTGTGCCCAGACGGAGCTGTTTGGGCACGGAAGGAGGACCGTTCCTATGGCAAGCGTCTGTTGCTCTGTCTAATGCCCCAAGGTGTGTGGCAAGCCTTGACCTCATCTTAAGCTTTGAAGGTGAGGCAGGTGTCTTGCTGAAAGGGAGGGAGGGCCTTTGTGCCTGGGCCACGCAGGGAGCTTTGTGGCTGGCTGGGGATTTGTGCACACTCTGACACTCTCCCCCCTGTGTCACACTTCCTGTCTGCTGCCCTATTCTTTTTTCAGCAGTTCCAACCATGGCAGAAGCAAAAAGCTTTTCTTGGGTTGTTTGGACCCTGGAAAACAGTAAAGGGGAACTGACTGCTGAAGTTGAGCTTTCCTGCCCTTTCCCAATATATCTGTCCAGGCAACGTGGTGTCTAGCACGGACATCCTGGCACCTTGTTAGTGCTGTCTCTGCAGCTTCTGTCTACCTGCTTTTCAGGGTGTGCTTATGTTTATTTATTAACTTCATTTTATACCCCATTTTTCTCCACAATGGGAACCTGTTTTAATTGTTCTCTGCTCCTCTGTTTATGTTCACAACAACCTTGAGAGGTAAGCTTGAGTCCAGTGGCATCTTTAATGAAGTTTTATCCAAGGCATAAACCTTTGTGTGCGTACACACTTCTTCAGATGCAATGAAATGTAAATTGCCAGTCCATACATCTAAGTAGAGGGTGAACAGTAAATTGAGGGGTGTGGGGGGAGTCTTCTGCTCAACTTGTGCTTTTGTCTCGATAAGAACCGCCTGGAGAGAGGCCCCTCGAACCCGGCCTGCTCTGTGTGACCAGCCAGAGGCCGCTGGGTCATGCGGGAGCCAGCCCCTGTGTCCCCCCCCCCGGCCGTCTTGTAGTCACGTAACCTTTTTCTTGGGTGTTTTTTCGAGAAGTGCTTCATTGGCTGCCATAAGGGTGCCAGTCTAGGGCTTGCAGCCCCTGGGGCGGGCTACAGTTGGGATTAAACTGTTCAAAACAAAGCAGAATATGGTTTTGCCCCGGGGGGGGGGGTGTTGATGGTCTGACCCAGGAAGGCGTGTGGCTGAAATAGGTGCTAGTATCTTCCCAAAGGACTTGCATGGCCCAGGCTTGCCTGATCTTGGAAGCTAATCAGGATCAGTACTTGGTTAGCACTTGGATGGGAAACCTCCAAGGAAGTCCAGGGTCATTATCAGAGCCGGGGAATGGCAAGCCACTTCTCTCTCTTGGCTCGAAAGCCCTCTGGGGTCACCAGAAGTCGGATGCAGTTTGACAGCACTTCACACACAAGCGCGCATGCACACACGACTTCCCAAAGTAAGTGGCGCATGGAAGTCTCACATTGTCTCTTGGTAATTGGCAAGTTGGGGAAATGGTAAAAAAATCTCCTAGGGAATGTGTTCTCTTTTGGAATTAGTGGAATACAAGAATTTTTTTAAAAGACAAGATTTTTGCTTGCTTAGAAAGCGTAATGTGTGAGGGTTTTTATGCAAGACAAGCTACAGCATTAGGTGATAATTCCTGTGCACACGGCAGACATAGACTGTCAAATGTTTAAATGCGATTTGCTCTGTCCACACACATGCGTGCGCGCGCATTTGCTGAAAGGGACGGTTCCAGAGGGCGCTTCTGATCGACAGGGTGCGATTCTGATCTCCTGCACTGCTTATCGTGTGGGTCCTCTGTGTTTTCTGTTTCTGTTTTCATCTCTTCCTTACCTCTCAGATGGTAAACAGGGAGACACGTGTGGCGTATGGTGAAGCCGGTGGCTGTGCTCTCTCTGGGTGCCTGTAGACAACGGAGGCATTTTGACTTTCACAGATATGCCCAATTGTATATGTTAGCTGAATTAAAACTTAGGCTTGTTAAGGAAGTGTTGGTGTATTTTAGTTTCCTCGCCAAACTTCGGTTTTTTTCGGGGGGGGGGTGTAAGAGAATGGGAGAAAATGTTTTCTCTCTGTGGTTTCATTTTTCATCTCTGCCCCACTGCCAGACTTCTGGTAAGCAGCACTTCCTGAAGAGCCAAGTTGGGGTGAGGTTGGAGTTGTGTGGCTGGATCATGGCCATTTTCTTTGCTCGGGGAGGGGATGGTTCACTCCTCTGTAGTGTGACCATGACTAAGCGAGGTGGTGTGGCAACAATGGCACTGAAGGTTTCTTCCCCTGCTTGACTCGGGCACGTTGTGTGTGCTCAGGGAGCAGGAGGTCAGAGGGCACTGGTGGCAAGAGAGCAGTGCTGTTCCCCCCCCCCCAAGGATTGTGGCGGCTGCTTCCTAGATCTTTGTTCTGTGGAGACAGTGTTGCCAAGTGTCTGTACTTGAGGGCTTCTTGGGCAGGAAGTGCCCTTGCCCAGGTAGCCAAGCAAAGCGGTGTGAGATTCCTGCAGCGGGCAAGGCAGAAGAAGCACAGCTGCTCAGTCCGGCCTTGCCCGCCCCTGAAGTGGGGCCCCCACAATGCCATAGAAGCCAATTGCTTTGCTGGGTAAGTCAGGGTGGGCTCAAATGCTTCTGCAGTCTGGAAGGGAAAGTAGCGGCCCGCTCTTAGGAAGTCCTGGCTGGCCGGTTTGTCCTCCTGCCTTGGCCACCAGCAAGGGGTTTACGGCGGCAGCTGCTCCAAGAGGGAGGCGAGGTGAGCCAGGGAGCGAAGGGTGGCTGCTCCCCAGGGCTTGCTGTCCTGGCTCCTGCAGGCCTGGGAAGCTGAGGAAGGGGCGCCTTTTGCTGCTTGCTGGAGAGGGGGCTCAGGAGGTCATGAGCGCCCCTTTGTTTTGCTTGTTGCCCTGCCACAGCTGGCTGGGGGGTCAGGTGCTTCCCTTCCATTTGCAGGGGGGCAGGGGGAGACCTCCATGGTTGGCAAGTGAGCAAGAGAGGAGAGGCTGGAAAGGGCGTGTGAAAGCTGTCTGGCCGGCTCCTTGCTGTTTGGGACAAACAAGCCAGTTGGGACATCTGAGCTTCTCGTCTTTGACTTTTTAAAATGATATTCTTTCTACGTTGCCTTGAGCTCCGTGGATCTTCACCACTTCCCTGCGAGGGAGATTCAGCTGAGAGGGTGTCAGAGTCACCTAGAGACCTTGCAAGGCCTTGGAGAGCCGGGGTGGCAGAGTGGCTAAGAGGGCCGGACTAGTGTCTGGGAGACCCAGGTTTGAATCTCCACTCATGCTGTGGAAACTCGCTGGGTGACCTGGGGCCAGTCGCACACTCTCCACCTAACCTGCTGCACAGGGTTGTTGTGAGGATGAAACGGAAGAGAGGAGAACAGCACCTGCCGCTTCGTATCCCTGTTTGGGAGGAAGGCTGTGGGGACAAGTGGGCTTGGCATCGTGGTTAGGTGCAGGCGGACTCTCATCTGGGAGAGCCGGGTTTGATTCCCCACTCCTCCTCCACTCGCACCTGGCTGGATGACCTTGGGCAAGCCCTAGTTCTGGTCAGAGCTGTCCTCGAAAAAAGTGCCGTTTCTGTCAAGAGCTCCCCCAGGGTGTCTTTCTGTTGTGGGGAGGGGAAAGGAAAGGAGTCTGTAAGCCCCTCTGAGACTCCCTTGGGTAGTGAAGGGCCATGGGGTATACATCCAATCTCTTCTCTTCTTCTTCGTCTAAACAATTTTAAAATCACATTTATATGCTACCTTACCTTTTTAAATGCTTGAGGTAAGAACAGTTTTAAGTGACGAAAACAGCAGAAAGTAGAAAATCATGAGCCAGGCAGACAATGGCCACCATTCTTCCTGTGGCCGATAAGGGAAATGAGCCAGCGAGAGGGTGACTTCCCACCAGGATGATGGGGGGGGGGGGCTTAAACCCAGACCTCCAGCATTTTGGCATGCCCTGGAAGTGCCAGCTCTGAATCCAAAGAGTGAGTACTGTCTGGACTGAGAGGATGGATGATGTGTTCCACCTCCAGGAGTTGGCATCTCTCGCCCTGCCAGGGCAAAAAAGGAATCTCAAGTTAGTTGACACATCTGAAGGATCCGGACCGGTTCGTCATGCCACCTGGCTTCTTTCCAACCGCTCCTCCCTCTTGGACTGTGCTTGCAACTCTTACACCACCTGAGCATTGTGAAATGGACCCTGCCCTCTCTCGGGTGAGACCTCGGTGTGGGCTGGCAGCCAGCCAGATTCTGCTCTCTCTGTGGGTGTGTGCGGGGTAATGTGTAACCAGCCCTCCCCTGGTCCTCGCCTTCCCGGGTGATCCTGTCTTTGGGAGTGATGGAAGAAGAAGAAGAAGAAGAGATTGGATTTATACCCGGCCCTTCACTTGGAGTCTCAGAGCGGCTTACAAACTCCTTTCCCTTCCCCTCCCCACAACAGACACCCTGTGAGGTGGGTGGGGCTGAGAGAACTCTGACACAAACGGCTCTTTTTCAAGGACAGCTGCGCCAGAGCTTGTGACTGACCCAAGGTCACATCAGCAGGTGCAAGTGGAGGAGTGGGGAATCAAACCCGGTTCTCCCAGATTAGAGTCCGCGCACTTAACCACGACACCAAACTGGCTTCTTACTATTCTAGCCAGTTCAGAGTGAGGGCCTGTTGAGGTCTCATTCTTGGAAGGACTATCTCCTCGGGTGTCTTCAGACAGCGGTTTAAACTGGTCCGGTTCTGACGCGATTATTTTTGATCTGGATAATCACGATCACACTTACCTCCCTTATCCCGCCTCACGTAGCTCCCTGGCATCTACACTACCGACGCGTGGGAGCGTGTGTCGGCCATTTTTTAAAATTTTTTCTCAGTTTGCGCATGCGCATAGGCACTCATCCATAGAATGGGGGGGGGGAACTATCATGGCGCATGCGTAGAACCACCAGGGCGAATCAATCCAACCCTTCCAACAAAAGATTTCCCTTTAAACGTTTGACCCGAAAATGGCCTCCGTAAGATCCCGAACTCATCTAAACTGACATGTTTGAATGATGCAGGAATTACATAGCAGGATAATTCGTACAGCAGCAGCGTTAGCAGCTGATTTGTAATGGACACCCAGGGCTCATGGAGATGGTCCTTACGTGACAATTTTGATACAGTGGGCAGTTCAGAAACTTGGTCAGATGGGGACAATAACTGGGACAGTGCTATCCCTGGATACAAACCCTGTAGACAGGGCATGGAGGGACCTGTTGAGGGCATAGAGTCAAATGTGGGGGAAACTAGCTTGAAAACTCCTCCGTGTAATTGCTAAGGGCAGAGATACAGCCGTTAGGCCGTGCTTTGCACACGAAAGCTTGCCCTTTGATTAAAACTTTGTTGGACTTAAAGGTGCCTGGCTGGACTCAAACTATGTTCTGCTGAATTTTTTTAAGAGGATACATGACAGAGGTTTATAACGTTACGTATGGGGCAGAAGAAGTGGATAGGGAACTTTTGTCCCCTAGTCCTAGAACTTCAGGGCTCTCAATGAAATTGATGGGCAATAGATTGAGGACACGCTCCTTTACACAATGAGTAATCACATTGTGGAATTCACTGCCAGGAGATGTAGCCATAAGCACAGATGGCTTTAAAAAGGAGTCCAAGAGATTTCATGGAGAGGTCCTTCAGTGGCTACTGGCCATAGTGACTACAGGAAACCTCCACATTCAAAGGCAGCAAACCTCCGAGTCCCAGTGCTAGGAGGCAACATCAGGAGAAGGCCGTGGCCTCCGTGGCTTTTATGCTTGGCCCTCCAAGGTAGCTGGCTGGCCGGCCACTGTAGGATACAGGAGGCTGGACCAGATGGACCCTCAGTGGACTGATCCAGCAGGGCTGGGCACCTCTTGTGTCAGTACACTGCTGCTTCCTGGTCCCTTTCTGGCTCTGCTTTGGGTCACAGGACTTGGGTCCGTGCAGCTGTGGCAGGAGCAGGGAACTGGGCAAGTGGAGCCAGGAAGCAGCAGGAGATGCCGGCCAGCTTTGGCCAGCAGGTGCTTCAGCTCTGGGGTGCGACAGCCACAAACTGGGGGAAGAGTCTTTATTATGATTGTTAGCAGCAGGGCTCCCTGTGGGATAGTCCAAGGCTCTTCTGTGAATCTGTTGCTTATTTTGGGGGTTCTTGCTGCTGCCTTGGAGCTTCCTTTGTTTGCTGGGTGTCGCCTTTCTGCCAACACATATGAGGCACATGGCCATTCCAAAGAATGGCCCAGTTTGTTTCATTTAATGGCATGGGGGAACAAACTCCAGCCGCAAAATGGTGGCGTAACAGGCCAGGAGAGGAAGGGAGAAGCCGAGCAGCTGTTTGACCCACCACCCGCTTGGATTCACTTGGGGTGCCGCAGAAAAGCTCTTTCCGTGCTGGGGGGGGGGGAGCTTGGGCCAGTCGGCCCCCGGAGCTGCCAGTTCAGGTTCCCTTGGGAAGAGCCTCTGGGGAAAGCCTGTGCCTAAAACTTGCTGCCAGTTTAGACAGATGGGTGCCCCGGCTTGCTATGAGGCAACTGGAGACAAGCTGAGGATTTGACCCACATGATACGCTGGTGCCCTAGACAGGTGCTGGAACCGGAAAGGTGCCTTGGGACCACTTATCATGACTCGTAGTGGAGCCAGATGGGGTTAATGCTTCTGTTGGTGGACAGAGATAAATTTGTGGCAGGTTAGATGGCAGGATTTATTGCCTCAGCTATGAAGATGAAGGAGCTGCGGTGGCTCAAGTGGCTAAGACGCTGAACTGCAGGCTGTGGAAGGTCGGTAGTTCAGCGGTTCGAGACCCGAGTGTGCCACATGACAGAGTGAGCTCCCGTCTCTAGTTCCAGCTCCTGCCAACCTAGCAGTTCGAAAGCAAGAAATTGCAAGTAGATAAATAGGAACCACTTCGGTGGGAAGGTCACAGCGTTCTGTGCGCCTTGGTGTTTAGTCATGCCAGCCACATGACCACGGAAACGTCTTTGGACAGCGCTGGCTCTTCGGCTTTGAAACGGAGATGAGCACCGCAACCCTAGAGTCGGATTCGACTGGCTTTCGAGCAAGGGAACCTTTACCTTTACCTTTTATGAAGATGAAGCTAGAAGAACCTGTCATAATGATTCTCTCTTGTCTCACTCTGGGTCCATGGTTACTGGTATTTGATTTGGGGACTGATATTTGATTTAGGCTGTCAAAGATTTCTTAACACTGGCATGCTTTTGTCAGGGTTTTAAATATTGATATTAATAATTGCAATTATGGTTATGGGCTATTTGGAAGTGGAATTACTAAGATGTCATGCTTATTTTATTGGTTTTGTGTGTGTGTGTGTGTGTGTGTGTGTGTGTGTGGTGGTTTTATTGTATTTTTTGCTGTGGCTGGTGGGCCAGGGCACTAAAGAAATGAGCAATGGTGTGAGGCAACTGAGAAGAAACAACTGTCTAGATGAACCCTCTGACTGACCCCTGTTGCCTTGTAGCTGCAGGCCGGCGGTTCCGTTGGGCAGGGCCAGACCCTGTTTTCACAGGCAATACAGATTCCAGGCCCCTTTTGTGCATTCCAGGGAGTTCTGCCTGCTCCCTATTTCCCCCCTCTGAAGTGAAATTGCAGTACTATGAGCCGCATGGTCAGTCCAAGTAGCACTTCAGGCTCCTGTCCCATTAGATGTTGTTCCTCCCTTCCATCTCTTGTCATCGGCGTTTTCTTCCTGTTTCCCTTCAAGTAGACGGGTGTGTTTGATCTGACTCTGTCCTGCCCACAGGATCATCAAGAACGTTGTCCGGAGCTTCAAATACCTGTACGGACTGCGGTTTGACGTGAAGGGTCTGGAGCACTTTGAGGTGGAGGGCCCGTGTGTCATTGTGTCCAACCACCAGAGCATCTTGGATATGATGGGTGAGACATTTCAGAGAGACCCCAGAGAGGCCCTTTGCCAGGAGGGCCTGGGCACACCCAACCAGCTTTCTTACCGGGCCACCCACGCTTGCCCTGCCATTGCCTTCTCCCGTCTCTGGACCAGGCCGGGGAGTGGGGTCTGGAAATTTATTTTGCTAGCTTGAAGAAGAGATTGGATTTATACCCCGCCCTTCACTACCAGAAGGAGTCTCGGAGCAGCTTACAAACTCCTTTCCCTCCCCCTCCCCACAACAGACACCCTGGGAGGTAGGTGGGGCTGAGAGAGCTCTTTTGGGGATTGCTCTTGAGAGAAGAACTCTGAAAGAACTTGTGACTGACCCAAGGTCACACCAGCAGCTGCACGTTGGAGGAGGAGTGGGGAATCAAATCTGGTTCTCCCAGATTAGAGTCCGCTGCTCTTAACCACGACACCAAACTGGCTTTCTACCTTCTGTGCTTGCCATTTCTGATTTTCAGAGTAGTTGACATTCAAGCAAAGATTACAAAGATCAGTAAAACCATTACAACTCTACCAAAAAATGTTAAAAAAATGACCAGTAATTAAAAATTAATTAAAAACAAGACAAAAACACTTCAAAGTTGTCTAAAAGCCGCACAAAACACAGCAAAAGCAGGTAATGTTTGTAAAGTGGCTCTGTCAAGCCAGCTGGCCTTGACTATCCCCCCCTGGCCAAAGGAAAATGTGTGGCAGAAAAGGGAGGCGACCGGAGCCCCCCTGTGTGTTTGGGAACACAAAAGACGTAACTTGGGAGGGGAGGAGGGGGGGGAGGGGAGGAGGGGAGGGCTCTCCGCCAGCGGGGGCCTGGTCTCTTGCGCTTCCACGCCGTCCTTGCCGGGAACAGAGGCAGGCAGAGGCAGGGCCGGCAAAGGTGGCTGTAACCATGCCAGGTGTAGGGCTGCCAACTCCACATTGGGAAATTCCTGGAGATTTGGGGGTGAGGTTTGGGGAAGGGAGGGGCCTCAGCAGGGCACAGTGCCACAGAGCCCACCCACCCACCAAAGCAGCCGTTTTCTCCAGGGGGTGGATCCCACACGGCAGCGGGCCTGGAAGGGAACAGGCAGGGAGCAAGTGGACGGCTGGATCTGGGCCGTCTTCAGGACCTCGCCATAGCCCAGCCTGGAGGCAGGCAGTCAGGCAGTCAGGGGGTGGAGATCCATGGCTGCATCCCGCCTCTCACGACAGGGACAGGGCCGCAGTGGGCCAGACAGGGCACCGGAGCTCCCCGCTGGAAGTGCAGCCCTGGCCAAGGCCCTGCCAACCAACAGGTCAAGAGCTTCCCCGGGGGTCTGACTGTGGGCTTATCCTCTCCCCACCCCCCCATGGAGGTTTCAGCCGAGGTCTGCTCCAGTCCTGCTGTCCGTGGTCTTCTCCGCTGGGCGGTGAGATGAGGAAGGGCCGCCTTACCCGACCTGACTCACTCCTCCCCCCCCTCTTCCGTAGGGCTGATGGAGGTCCTGCCGGACCGCTGCGTCCAGATTGGCAAGCGGGAGCTGCTGTACTTTGGCTCCGTGGGCCTCATCATGTACCTGGGTGGGGTCATCTTCATCAACCGGAGGAGCACCAGCAATGCCAAGTCCGTGATGTCGGGGGTCGGCCAAGCCATGGCCAAGGACAACGTGAGTGAGATGGGTCGGCGGGGGGGGGAGGGGGGGTTTTGCTGGTCCCCAGATTCTTGGCTTACGGACTGCTTCAGAAGGGCCCCCTTCAGCCCCATGGAGCCCCTCCTGGCTGCACGTTTTCTCTTGACCAAGAGCACAGGCGATGCTTGGCAGGTTCCACCAAAACAGAACATCCCAAACCCTGGGGCAAGGAAGTCAAGCGCATCTCCCCCCCTCCCCCCCTGAAGAAACCCTGGGAAATGCAGTTTGGTACTGATCATTCTGTTAGTCTCTTCTCCCCACCCCAAAATACAGGGGAGAGGGTCCGACCGTTAAGGCAGGCGAGGCCTGCAGTGCAGAGATGAACCCCCCCCCCCAAGGTGCACTTCACGTATATTTGTTTGCCCGTCAGTGTGGGCTGCGTTTGAAAGTGTTCCCAGTTCCAGGCCGTGACTTTGTTGTGGGCGTCACTCTGCATTTCTATCCCACCTTTCTTTGAATACGGTACTTTTTAAAGAAAATACATTTTAAAGCGAGGCTTTTAAAAAAAGAAATAATGTTTTCTGGAATGCTTCTTTAAATAGAAATCCTCGAAAATCCTTTTTGATGAGAGGCTGGGGAGGGGGGGGAGAGGATAGGGGTGTATTTGTGTGTCTCTGTCCGTCCCCCCCCCCCCAATGGGAACCGTTCCTTTCAACACCTCACATCACTTACTCCTCAGGCTGTTTGTCTATCGCCTTGGTTTTCTTTACATGTGTCATAATAGGGGTTCAATGTTTTTTAACCTCCAGGGAGGCGGGTGGGAGGAGAACGCGCTGGGCAGGGAGGCCGTTTTATGTTTTTGGCCTTCTCTGGGATCGGCTGCAGCTCCAGCCCAGATCTTTGCCAGCAAGGCCCGGCCCTGACGGGCCCTCTGAGCCGCTCCCTTGCCCAGCCAAACCGTCTCACCGTCTTCCTGCTGCCTGGGGGGGGGGGGGGGGGGTCCAGGATTGGAAGGGGGGAGCCATTGCAAGTGGTGTGGGCATGACCCCGGAGGCCTTGGCGACCCTGGCCAGATAGCTGCCCTGCCACCCGTCTCCCTTCCACATGCTTGACTTGGGGACAAATGAGGACTGTCAGCAGTTAAGCAATTTTTAGAGGGGTGATTCGCGTTTAACCAATTACATTTAAGTAACATGGCCTGTTACAACACATCCCATTCTGCAGCCGCCTGTTTGAGAACTTGCCCTTTATTGGATGAAAGCTGCTTAGGAAGAAAGGAAAGGACCTCTTTAATCCTTCCTCTCTCACCTCCTGCTGCACTACTACACCAGACCAAAGTCGCCCCAAGGCACGCGGCCCACAAGGCACTTCTTCACTCCCAGTCTCGCCTGTTCACAGCCTCGGACCACTGGCTTTTACGGGTGTAGTGGGGCACATGCATTGCCTGATGGCAGGTGCCAGTCCTAGACACTGTCTTAGCAGGAGTGGTGTGTGTCCCCCCCGCCCGCCCGCCAAGGAACTCTGCACGAGCCCCTGCTTATGATGCCATGAGAGCAGGGCTACCATTTGTCACTTCTCTTTTGCTTCCCTCCTCCGGTTGGGAGCTGACGACCTGACCCACTGGAGGGCTGCTGTTTCCCAAGTGGTCCCTCCCTCCTGATCTTTCCTGGGGTTTTATCGTAACCCAAAGAGTGCTTGTGAATGGTTCCTCATCCTATTGGAGAGGAGTGACAAGTGGAGTGCCTCAGGGATCTGTCCTGGGACCTGTTTTGTTCAACATCTTTATCAATGATTTAGATGAAGAAATACAGGGAATGCTTATTGAATTTTCAGATGACACTAAATTGGGAGAGGTAGCAAATATGGTAGAAGACAGAGTCAGGATACAGGATGATCTTGACAGGCTGGAAAACGGGGCTAAAACAAATAAAATGAATTTCAATGGGGATAAATGTAATGTTCTGGATTTAGGTAGGAAAAATCAAATGCATAATTATAGGATGGGGGAGACTTGTCCTGGCAGTTGTATGTGCCAAAAGGATCTAGGGGTCTTAGTAGACCACACACTGAACATGAGTCAGCAGTGTGATGCAGTAGCTAAAAAGGCAAATGCGATTTTGGGCTGCATCAACAGAAGTATAGTGTCCACATCACGCGAAGTGATGGTACCACTTTACTCGGCTCTGGTTAGACTCCACCTAGAGTATTGTGTTCAGTTTGGGGCACCACAATTTAAGAAGGATACAGACAAGCTGGAACGTGTCCAGAGGAGGGCAATGAAGACAGTGAGGGGTCTGAAGACCAAGTCCTATGAGGAAAGGTTGAAGGAGGTGGGTACGTTTAGCCTGGAGAGGAGACGACTGAGAGGGGATATGATAACCACCTTCAAGAACTTGGAAGGGCTGTCATGTAGAGGATGGTGTGGAGTTGTTTTCTGTTACCCCAGAAGGCTGGACCAGAACCAACGGGTTGAAATTAAATCAGAAGAGTTTTCGGCTAAATATTAGGGGTTAGGGTTACTTCCTGACAGTGAGAGCAGTTCCTCAGTGGAACAGGCTACCTCGGAGGTGGTGGCAGGGCTCCCAAGTACTTACCTTAATTCGGCGGGGGATGTATAGTTCTTCGCAGGACCGTTCCCACGGGGAAAACACAGGCGCTGCACTATTCCGTCAATGGTACCATCGAGTTTCCAGTCCCATTACCAGAGCGTTACCCAGCTATGTGCCTACATCACGTCTAGGCGACGGAATAGTGCAGCACCTGTGTTCCAAGCAAGAATCTTCCAGTGGGGAAGCATGTGTCCCCCACCGTATCATAGGTAGGTACTTGGGAACCCTAGGTGGTGGGCTCCCCTTCTTTGAAGGTTTTGAAGCAGGGACTAGATGGCCATCTGACAGCAATGCGGATTCTGTGAACTTAGGCAGATCATGAGAGGGAGGGCAGGGAGGGTTGCCTCAGTGCTTAGTTCTTGTGGCCCTTTCTTACATGCCCCAGAGAAATGTGGCCCTTTCTTACACACTCAGGGAAATGCTGAATGCCATTTTGGGGTCAGGAAGCAATTGTTTTCCAGGCCAGTTTAGCCAGGGATCCTGGAGGTTTTTTGTCATCTTCTGGGCGTGGAACAGCGGTCACTGTGGGTGTGGACGGGGAAGTATTTGTGAATTTCCTGCATTGTGCAGGGGGGTTGGACTAGATGACTCCGGAGGTCCCTTCCAACTCTGATTCTATGAAGCCAAGAGCTTCATAGCTTATCCATCCCAGGTGGTGCATGTATCTCTCTAATTTGACAGTATCCTGGTCTCCCTTTCCTTATAATCGTTGGTCACATCTGAGGCACGCAAAAAAAACCCCCCCAAAACCCCACACGCTTGGCGTCAAATACATTTCTTCCTCCAGAAGTTAAATTCAAATGAGGTATTTCCAGCTCCACTCAGGTTGCCGGAGCCTGCCGGGGGCTGCAACGGACTCTTCAGAGGACAGGAATGGAAGAGACTGAGTATGGGAAAGGGCTTATTCTGAATTGTAGGCAGTTTAATTTTGAACATCTGAATTAGTATTTTTTTTTTTTAAAAAAGAACAACCAACAACCCTGCCTTCTTACACTGTTCTGGTGTTATTTTAAAATACGGCTTTTTAAAAAGTGGGGTGAGGTTGGCAAAAAGGGGAGGAGAGGAAACCAGGAGTGGAGTTTTATTTTTGGAAGAAGCGGGTTGAGGAATCAGCCCTTCTGTTTGAAAATCCTGCCGCAACCTGAATTAAGTGTGCAAAGAGGCAGGGGAGACAGCCCTTGTCCAGTGATGAGGGACAGACACTCTGTGCGCTCTCAGAAGGATGTTTTGTCCTGGGCCTCAGCCCTAGGCCCCTTGGGGACCGTGAGCTGGGCCAGCCGTGTCCGCTTCTCTCAGGTGCTGCCACCAGGGGGGAGGAGTGCGGGAGGGGGAAGGCGGGGCTCTCTGCTGAGAGGCACTCGGCAGCCCTGGCTTGGCGAGAGGCCGATTCAGGTGCTGGCTTGGCAGGAGTGGCTCCAGGTCCTTGACGTGGGCTCTTCCCTCCTCTGTGGGCAGGTGAAGGTCTGGATCTACCCAGAGGGCACCAGGAACGGGAATGGGGACCTCTTGCCGTTCAAGAAGGGAGCATTCCATCTGGCCATCCAGACGCAGGTAATGGGAAGGGTCCTCGGAAGGCCATCAATGCCAGAAGTCCAGAGTTAGACCTTGCCCTACCAATGGCTGTCCGGACTTTGCTTGAAGACATCCAGCGGGTGGGGGGGGGGGGAGTGTTCAAAGAGGGCAAAAATAGCCAGTTCCTTTCTCCCCAGTCTCCCATCTGTGATATTCAGGCTCTCTGCCCCCTTCCTACCCAGATGGGCAGGTCAAGAAGTGGGTTTACCCAAGGAGACCACTAGATCCTGGTCTTGGCTGGCATCTCCAGCGAAAGTCCCACCTTTGTGCTGGCCAGGGCTCTTGTTGTAGAAAAAGCCCAGCAGGAACTCATTAGCATAACAGGCCACACCCAACACCAGGAACTCATTAGCATAGTAGGCCACACCCTGACAGCACAGCACATTAACATATTAGGCCACACCCCCATGTCACCAGAAGTGTGGTCATCCAGCCGCACCCACCTTTTGCTTCTTATTCTGTTTACCTTGTTTGTTGTCAAAACCCTAGGCTTTTTTGTAGCAGGAACTCCTTTGCATGTTAGGCCACACACCCCTAATGTAGCCAATCCTAATGAGTTCCTGCTGTGGTGTGGCCTATTATGCTAATGAGTTCCTGCTGGGCGTGGCCAACTCAGGAGCCAGCCGGAACTCCATTCCTGTGCGTTCCTGCCCAAAAATAGCCCTGGTGCTGGCGATGGGGAGGGAGAGTCGCAGCCCTTTGGAGGAGAGACCACAGCATGCGGGGAGGGGGGGTGTCTTTCTGCATATGATTTCCAGTGCACAGGGTCCCCGTTTCTTCCACACACCCCATCACACCATATCTGCTATCTGGAGAGAGCTTGTCTCTAAATATGCAGTTTCTCTTTGGCTAATAGCAGGTGATAGATTTGCAGCAGAAGAAAGGCCTGTCTCTTTGTGTCGCCATCAAAGCAGAGGGGAATTGCATCACCTTGTGGCAGGCAGTTCCACCGGTAAAATATGCTTAGTGTGGATGGCTTCCTTTTGTCATCTCTAATTCTGCAACTAGTCGATGTAGTTGTAGAATCCACTAGCCTTTGTGGGCTTCCCCCACAGTGTCGTATCTGTTGAGACCTGCTTTCTAACCTTCTCCCTGGTCTTGTTCCAAGGTTCCAGTCATTCCTGTGGTGTATTCCTCCTTTAATACGTTTTACAACCCGGAGAAGAATCTGTTTACATCAGGTATGGCCCCGGACTGAAAGCTCTTCTGCTTCTGCCAAGGCCTCTCCCTGGTCTCTCGGAAGCCTGGCGAAGGGTCAGAGTTCCAGGTTTGAACCCCCACTTTGCCATGGCAGCCAGCGGGTCACTCTCAGGCACTAAGGGAGGGGCAAACAGTATTGCAGGTCACTTTGAATCCCCTTTGGAGAGGAAAGCAGGGAATAAATACCTCAGTCACTTTATCCTAGTGGAATGGGGCTTTAGGCTCTCGGCTGGTCCTGCATTGGGCCCAGGGGGCTGGACTAGATGGTCTGTATGGCCCCCTTCCAACGCCGTGATTCCATGGGCTGACTGCACCTCTAGCTCCAACGAAAGAGAGCCCTCTGGCCGTGATTGCCTCCTCCAAATGGCCCCTCACGTGAAGTTCCTTCTGCTGGCCTGAATTTAGCAGAGGGCCCCAGAGGCAGATGGCTCGGCCTCGAGCTCACAGGCCTGCCCCGCAGCATTCGGAGCTCCCTTCCCACGTGCCACAGGCGGGAGCGGCTGGCGAGTTCCGTGTCTCTTCTTCCGTTGCCAGGCAGAATCCAGGTTGAAGTCCTGCCACCCATCCCCACCTGCGGCCTGACAGCCACGGACGTCACGGACCTCAGCGACAGGTGCTACGCCGCCATGAGGGAGACTTTCTTCAGACTGCCAGGAGCAGCTGGCAGAGTGAATGGATCCACACCCGGCTTTGCTCAGTAGCCACGGGGCTCCTGCACACCCGACCAAAGGACTCCTCCCTGTTGCCAAATAAGTCAGTGGCTCCCTTGCTTGGGGCGGGGAACTCTTTTCCCCCTTCAGACCGGCAGCCCCTGAGGAGGAGGAGGTCTGACTCGGTATTGACCGGAGCACTCTCCAGAACTCTTTGCTTGGAGCTCCACTCCGTCCCTACCACTGACCCATTTGGTATTTTCCAGCTGCTCAGACTGGTGAAATCCAGAAAGGCACCCCCTCCTCCCCCCCGCACATTTGGTGGGGCAGGGTGTGTCTGCAGACCTGGGGGCTTATAGGGACCCGCTCATCCTTTCAAGGGGTGGAGAACACTACGGTGCTGGGCTCCACTTTGCTCTGCTTGGGGTTGGCCCCGGCCTCTCTGGCTGACCAAGAGCAGAGGCCACAACTTTCACAAAGGTGTGCATGTGGGGGCTGGGGGTGGGGATATATGGCACTTTGCACAAAGCCTTGCCTTTGGTAGCCGGAAGACTTGCTCTGGGATGTGAGAGGGCTGAGCTTGCAAGGGCCCGAGTGACTCTCTCAAGTTTTGGTTGGAAAAGCTTGCTGGTCAGATGCCAAATCGCTCTTTCAAAAGGAAAGTGAAGTGTTCGGGTTGGGCAAGTGAACTCAAGGATCAGCTCCCGCCAGAACCATCGTCACAAGATAATAGTTTCTGCTTCTTTGGCACAAGTATGTAAAAAAAGTGTAATTAAAACTGGAACCTCCCCCTCTGTAGTGGCGTAGAGCTCTCCACACTATTAGATTTTGGGTCACTCACGAGGATCTGAGGTTCACTGCACAGGCAGTGCGGCCTCAGTTGAATTACAGTCTCTGTACACCTGCTCTGCCTGGCCGGCCAAAATGCATCTGCTTTAGGTTGTTTTTTACCCCCAGTATCGGAGAGTGCATTTCCGTAATCGCTGTCGAGTGATCCCATTGGCTATAGTGGGATTGTCTTTTTGAAAGGCACTGATTTTAAGACCACAGCCAAGGGCACTCCCCCATAGGAAGTCCCCAAATGAAACAGAAAGCTCTCGTCCAGTTCCCATTCACTGCAGTGGGGTTTGCGCCAGAGAGAGCAATCTGTGGGCTTGTCCCCATACTCTTGTACAAGGGAGTTCGGACACCCTTCTTGCAACACAAAAACACATTACTGTAATGATGGGGTGTGATGAAACAAACAGTTTGGTAGTGTGGTTGTTAACTGTGGACATTCCAGTGTTTTCTTCGAGCAAGGGAACCTTTACCTTTTATCGGAGAGTGCATTTCCGTAATTACTGTCAAGCGATCCCATTGGCTATAGTGGGATTGTCTTTTTGAAAGGCACTGATTTTAAGACCACAGCCAAGGGCACTCCCCCATAGGAAGTCCCCAAATGAAACAGAAAGCTCTCGTCCAGTTCCCATTCACTGCAGTGGGGTTTGCGCCAGAGAGAGCAATCTGTGGGCTTGTCCCCATACTCTTGTAAAAGGGAGTTCGGACACCCTTCTTGCAACACAAAAACACATTACTGTAATGATGGGGTGTGATGAAACAAACAGTTTGGTAGTGTGGTTGTTAACTGTGGACATTCCAGTGTTTTCTATTGTACCTAAGATGGGCTGGGGCCTCAGGGCCTCCCTCCTTGCTTCTGCTTGTCAAAGTGCCCTCTAAATAGGCAGTCCTTTTTTCCAGCACGCAGGGATTCTTTCCATGCCATCAGGCTGCTCTTGCTATGCAAACGGTTGCAAAGTTTCCAGAAATACATCTGAGCCCCCTGGGGCTTCCGCTGCCAAGGCAGAGCAAGGAAGGGCTGGACCCACATGTTGCTACATACCTGGGGCACACTCTGGCTTCCCTTGCAGGTCATCTAGTCCAACCCCCTGCACTTTGTAGGAGAATAGCCAAAAGATAGCCCTACAACATACCCGAAAGATGGTTATCCAGCCTCCACTTGAAAACTTCCAGCGAGGGAGCATCCACCACTTCCCGAGGCAGACTGTTCCACTGCTCAACCACTCTTACAGTTAGGAAGTTTGTCCTGATATTTAGCCGGTAACGACTCCCTTGTAATTTCCACCAATTAGACCTAGTCTTGCAATCCGGAGCAAGGGAGACTAGATCTGCTCCATCTTCTACCTGACAGCCCTTTAAATATTTGAAGACTGCAATCATGTCCCCTCTAAGCGTTCTCTTTCCCAGGCTAAACATACCCAACTCTTTCAGCCTTTCCTCGTAAGACTTGGATTCCAACACTCTCACCATTCTGGTTGCCCTCTTCTGGATACGCTCGAGCTTGTCAACATCCTTCCTAAAATGTGGTGCCCAAAACTGGACACAGTACTCCAGGTGAGGCCTGACCATAGCAGAATAGAGCGGGACTACTAACTCCCGTGATCTGGACACAATGCTTCTGTTAATGCATCCTAAGATTGTATTAACTTTCTTTGCAGTCGCATCACACTGCAGGCTCATGTTTAGCTTGTGATCAACCAGAACACCGAGATCCCTTTCACATGTGCTGCTGTCAAGCCAAGTCCCTCCCATTCTATGTCTGTGCCTTTGATTTTTTGTACCTAAGTGTAGGACTTTGCACTTCTCTCTATTGAAATTCATTTTATTTGTCTCAGCCCACTGTTCCAGCCTATCTAGATAATTTTGAATCCTGACTTTTGTCTTTTTCAGAATTAGCAATCCCACCCAGCTTCGTGTCATCTGCAAATCTGATAAGCATCCCCTCTATGTCTTCCTCCAAGTCATTTATAAAAACATTTAACAACACCGGGTCCAGGACCAAGCCCTGCGGCACTCCACTCGAGACTTCCCTCCACGTAGATGCGGAGCCATTTGC